TCTGAAGTAAAATTGGTCTGGAAAGAGACATCAGGTGCCATGAATGGGGAGGGTGTCATTACTTTTTCCCTCAGTATTAAACGTAGAGGTATATTACAAAAACTAAAACATGAATGAAGATCATGAAAAAAATAATTTATTTTGTACAAAGTAGCTACCAGTGAGCTAAGGACAGGTGCTGTCAGGTCCCCAGCAGGAGGGACCCCACACTCAAGAGGAACAGGAGGAGCCCAGCAGCAGCTTGCACTGAACCAGCAGGCGGCCCTGCTCCAGGCTGTGGCCCTTGAGCTCCGCCTTGATGCACAGGGCCAGGCGGTGCACCTGCTCCTCCCTGAGCCCATCGAAGCAGAAGTCCTGATCCAAGACGTTCTTGTGTATGTGCTGGATCTCCGCGCTGCACGGGCACATGGTGGCCACAGGACCAGGCTGAGGCAACAGCCCATGGCCCAGGGCACCTCCTGCTGGGCTCTCAGGGCAGCAGCCAGAGGCTGAGGAGCCCGCTGCCCCCACTGTACTGGGCAGCCAGGCACATGGGCACCGCTGGAGCAGCCCATATTCATGGTGGCCTCGGCCTGCAGACACTCGGGCCATGGGCCTGGCGACCCTGCTGTTGGCTCCGGGGAGGCAATGCGCTTGTCCTTATCAGCTTGTCCTTGTCATCTCTGCTGCACAAGGAGCGGGGGAGACCTGACCACAAATCCTGCGGGATCGCTGGCTGGGCCTGGAGTGGCAGGATAAGGGCTCCTGTGGGGACAGAAACCACTAAGCCTGGGCACCTGGACCCCGTGGGACAAGGTGTATCCCTCCCACAGACCCTCTGGCGGTACCCACAGGTCCACGAGCAAAACCCGGTTCAGAAAATAAATAAATATTTCATAATTATTTAATTAAATACAACATGCAGTTTCTATTATTTTTTTGCCTTGGATGTCTCTCAGGCTTTTAATGCGGTTTCATACCAAAACAGCCTCTAATTTTTTATATTACTTAATTGATGATATTGAACCTTGAATTGCATCATCTCAAAATCATAGATCTCTAACGATTATACAAATTCCAAAATAAAAGAGAGTATCATTTGGGCCGGGCATGGCTCAAGTGGTAGAGAGTCTGCCTAGCACACATGAAGCCTTGAGTTCAAACTCCAGGACTGATCAAAAGAAAAAAAAATCACAAAACACATTTTCTTTATTTTTCTAAAGAGAGAATCATCACTAACTTTTGTTTCTCACAAATATCTACCTTTGCTTCCTTAACATTCAGTACCTCATTCAGATAAGGTTCACCCTGTTGATCTCCAATATAAAGAAACTGATACATCCAAGACGTTCTTGTGTATGTGCTGGATCTCCGTGCTGCACGGGCACATTCCACTGTCCTTTCCTACAATCGTCTTGGCCAACTCAACATGAATATCCATGGGTTGCAATATATGCCTAGTTGATGGATGCTGAAATCATCATTTTCCATTTTCTCTCTTAAAAAATAATTTAAAACATTAAATAACTTTTTAAAATCAGATATTCTGCACAAAACTACTCTATTACTAGAAAATTCTTAATAGGCACATTCAATGACTATCAGCTTTTACTTCTTTCAGCATACAAGTTAAATAATCTATATTTTAATGCAGATTGACAGACGCCAAAGACTCTGATAAAAATAACTTTGGGTATTTGGAGAATATTTTATAGTGGTATCATCCTGCATTTCAAAATGAATGGGAGAAAAAGAAGGAATTTATTACCTCAATTCCAGAATTAGTGATCAAGGTGGGTGACTACAGTGAAAAGGACAGGGAACTACTTTAAGGATTTCTGTACTAAGGCAGCTGAATCTGTACTAGTTTGTAGATATACTTCTCAGATACTTAGGAAAGCAAATGTAATACTGCAGAAAGAAAGCATAAACTAACAGAATAATATTTAATAATAATAATAAAAAAAACAGTGAGAGAAGAAACATTCCAAAAGGATTAGGACAGAGGAATTTGAACCAACTGCAACTTCCATTTGTGTCTAAGTGCTTTCATAGTTACAAGGATACAGACCATGAGTGGGCCTAGATTTAGATGGTACCAGACACCCTAATATGAATAACCACATTTCTATTCTATCTGTAACTGTGACAGTGTTTGCACTGATAAGCTCCGTTTGATTTTCTAAATTGACTGGCAGGATATGTGTATAAAATGGTCATCAGGGTTGATATACATGTGCAAACACATATACATACATTACCAATACTACAGAACTTAATATCAACATCCAACATTGAGCACTTGTTTACCTGATCTTGTCAAGAGAAACTTCATACTCTTATTTCAAAATCAAACTTGTCATACACTTTATATTTCTTCCAACATAAATTAAGTCTTCTATAAGCCTGGATCTTTACTGTTAAGCTAAAAGAGAGGGGGGAAAACTCAATATTTTTCTTAACAGACACATATATACATCAACGCACCATAATTGCCTTTTACTGAAATCTAAAGTGAGAACATTATCCTCAATGAATACACATTTTGCTGAATTTATTTGTAAATACTTTATTAGGAATATACTACTTCAGCACACAGCTTTACTATGTTTGAGTAACAGGTGATGAGCACATTTTGATCAATTAATCACACAGCTATCTGTCCTAAATAACCAGTCTAGAAATGCAACTTTCTATCTGCTGAAGAACTAAGATGGAGGGAGGTTTTCTACCTCAAGCTCATTATGAAGCAGGTTCCTGAATGTAATGCAGGCAGAATCATCTGCACATGTGTAATTCTCCTTCTACTCAGGCTAGCAATCATACTGAACTTTGAATAAGCCATGTCCACTGAACAATACAACCTGAGTTTACAAAGTACACTACTTTACATATACTGCTGACATCAGAATGACAGATGTTTACAGTCTAGTTGGTGCTTATGTAGACAATCAAATTCACCTGTAGCTCATCTCTCTCTAATTGTTTCCAGCTTTGTCAATGGAGCTGCTGTTATCTGCTCAAGATGCAACCCCTTGTTTGATTGAAAAAATTCAATCACTGCATTGATGGTTGTCTATAGAAGAACTATAAAATATAAAAAGGTTATACATAACTCTTTCTCCGTTATAAATTTGAATGGTTCACCTCAATTCTAAACAACTGTGGCTTTGAACTGAGGGAGGAATGCAAAGATATTTTGTCCTACTGCACCTCTCTGGGTGAGAGAACCTTGAGAAAGGAGCACCTGGAGAGGCAGCAGGTGTGTGCACATAATTACAGAAGCTGACACACTGCAGAGTAACATGTGGAAGGAAGGGAACAGACATTACTTCTACTTTGGGTCTCTGATTAGTCAGAACTCCACTTCTCAACATTAACTGGAGAAACTTACACTTTGAGGAAATAAGAAAGAAGAGGAAAGCTGCTCACTCTTACCACATACAAAACTTGAATTAAATAAATCATATTTTACAAGATGGAAAAAGTTCTGGAGATAAACATATGAACATATGAAATTCCTCACTCCTAATGATCTATCAGTCAGATTCAAACATTGACGCAAAGGGAAAATATGCAAAAAGGAACTGGAGAGGGAAGTCAGTGACCTAATTAGGAGTAGTTGATTTGGTAAACATGGATTTCTTTTTAATATATTAGATTTTTAAATTTTACATAAACAGAGATAAACAAACCTTCTGGTAGAAAAATGTCTATAGTACATGAAAAATAAAAACGTACTGCTTTGGAATAAGAAAAAATTGTTAGAAGAGTTACCTTTTAATGAATGCTAAATGTGAAAGAGGAAACGTAAGAAAATCATATGTCAGAAATACAAATTGGCTAGTGGAGTGGCTCAACTAGTAAGAGCAGTTGCCTAGCATGCATGTGGCCCTGAGTTCAAACCCCAGTACCAGCAAAAAAAAAAAATTCAAGTCATTTTAATAGAGTCATGTTCTTGCACTTAGAGCATCATAAATGACCTCCACAGGCTGAGACTAAATGATCAGAGTCTGGTGGGCAGGGCTGTCCTCCGGATTGGTTTCAAACTCAATTTTAAAGAAGGACAACGCAGTATCTCGCAATTGAAGCTGCAAGTGATGGCACAATATCTTGCTTCAGACCTATTACATATCAGTGTTCTGATTTTGCTTCTAGTTTATGACCCAGTTAAGAAAATGGAAGCAGTAAGTTCCCTTCTAATGCAATGGGTTAAATCCCAAGTTTTTCCTTTAAGAACTCCTTTGAGAGGCAGATGTCTGCCTAGTGCCTCAGCCTGGCATTCATTTACCCACAATCTGCTTTTGTTGCTGCTGTTACTGTTGTTATTAACTTCTCATCAGCCACTTGAAAAACCCAGTTTAGCCAAGCCCAGAACACTACAGAAGTTCTCATCACTGCTGTAGGCATAAAAGCTCATGTGACACAGACGACCACATGTCCCCATGTTCATGTGGTCTCCTCATCCTGTCTCCCAGTGTGCTTTCCATTCGCTAGCTTAACCTTCCTCCAGGCTCAGTTATTCTCGCCCACAACTGAGACTGCACAGCACTGTGAGATTTTTTTTAATGTCACAGCACCTTCTCACTTGAGTTATGTAATATGCTACAGAGTTCTTTAACTGTTAAGTTTCTGTATATCGTTGCTGATCAACTGCAGTATAAATGAATTGAAAAAAGAAACCAACTGTACATATGCACAGCTTTCACAGTATAGAGACTACAAATAAATTATATGATAAAGGTTGTGCAAGAAGGATGAGGGTAGAATAAATGATGAATTATACTCTTCTACTATAAAACAAAGCATAAAAGACTATCCTGGCATACACAAAGAAAAGGAATTAAAGAAGAGCTCTTACTAACATAGTTTTTAATGCTACATAACAGCCTTCATTTTTGGCCTAGAATCATAATTAGAAATAAAAACTGAAATAAGTTTTTAAACTTACCTTAGCACTTGTGTTCCTGGTCAGTGAAAAACTTGGGTGCTGAGGCCAATTGTCTGAATTTTAGTATTTCTGGCATATTTTTGTTCTCTCGGACTGTAACAGAAGTGCTTTCTGACTTCAGGATCATTAAGTGGGCAACATACTAAATACAAAAGGACAAATGAAAACTGTTAAAAGTTTAAATAACTACTTTAATAGTATCTTCTTAATTAAATATGTTGAATTACACCGTGATCCCACCAGGCATGTTGTTTCTGGTATCCATATACTCACAATAAATGAACGTTAGAAAACTCAATGATATTGCTTTTCCAAAAAGAACATTTACAAAAGATCAAAAGTTCTTCTCTCTTAAGTTTTGAAGGTGATAATGAAAAGACAACAATACATTTTGTGGCAGAAAGATTCAATTCAATAGTCTTCAGTAAAGCAAACTAAGTATTTCTGATCAATCCTGAGGAAAGAGAAAAAACACTATAAAGAGTATCTGCTTAGAGAGTCAACAACATACATATGAATCTAAAAATCTAAAAACTGTTTAAGGAGTTAACAACACACACACACACACACACACACACACACACACCTAAAAACTGCTGAGTCAAGATTGTAGGTAGGACAGAGAAACACCAGGGAGATGACTCTGGAATTTGGGGATGTGTTTCACCTGGGGCATTTGAAAATTTAAGAGAGGGTAGCTCAGAGCCTGTGAAATGGGACTCACAGGGTAGAAACTGGAAAGCAGGTCCCACCAAAGAGCAAGAGCACTGGAGAAACTCCCTCTCTTCTGGCTGGGACCCTAAAGGACTAAATCCTGGGAATAAAGGTGAAGTGGAAGCAGACAGACCACAGACCTGCAGCAAGACAGCAAATCATCTCAGTTCCTAACATAAGATTATTCTGATCCCACCTGCTGGTAGCTGCAGAGCCAGCAGCTCTGTTTAATTTCCCTCTGAAATTAAAAAAGCCATCTATCATGGAGAAAGAGATTATTTCTACATTTCTCCAACAGGAAAAAAAAAAAAAAAACCAACCAGGACCACTGCACACAAAACCACACAGAAACAACAAAAAACAGCAAAACAACAGGAGCTCCACACATCAAGTTTTAGACCTAGAGGAAATCCAAGCTGAGACACCAGCTATGTTTATTAGGTTCAAAGCATATGTAAGTTCAAACAATCTAAGAGTCAAAGCACCCTTTAAAAAAAGAAAAACAAAGAAAACTAAGGCCTGGAGATGTAGCTCAGTGACAGAGCACTTGTCTAACATGCACGATGCCCTGGGTTCAATTCCTAGCACTAGAAAAAGAAAAAAACTGAAAGAAAACCAAGTTGATGGTCTTACTTTGAAACTATAATAATCTAGATGGGGGTGAGGGGAACGTTAGTTTAAGCATAGAAAAGAGTTCAATTAAAGAGAATCACACAGTATACCCATGCATATGGAGTCAAATTATTTCCAAGTTAATTGGTAAGGGGCTAATGTAATTCAAGAAGAAAAACACAAAAACCTTACAAAAACTGTTCAAAGAACTGAATGGGCAGAGGGAAAAAATAAAACTTGTCCTGGATGCTAAACACTAAAAGTAATTTAAGATGGATACGAGACTAAATATAAAACCTAGAACAACATAACATTTCTAGAAAGAAAACACAGGACACTATCTTTGTGATTCTGAGGTAAGCAAAAATTTATTGAACAGATCTAATGTTAGTACCAGCCATAAGAAAAACATCAAAAAGTTTTTTCTCATAAATAACCACAATTAAGGAAATCAATAGGCAAGGCACACACTGAGAAATATGTGTACACATCACAACCTCATACAACTCTACATGTACATATGACAAGACGTATGAAGAATATGGAAAGAACTTCCACAAGAAATAAAAGGACAAACAGCTCAAGTTTTAAGTGGGCAACAAACACACTGTACTAGACGTTCCACAAGTGAACATATAGAGATGTCAGTAAGACATGAAGAAATACACACTGTTAGTCATCAGGAAACCCAAATGAAAGCTGTAGTAGAGTCCATGTCGTCCCCAACAGAATGGCTAAAAGTAGTTTGAAAATACCAAACACAGCAAGGAAGCGGGGAACGGAAATGAGTGGTAGGAATATAAAACATGACAAGCAGTTTTGGAGAGTTATTTGCCATCTTTATAAAAAGTAACACATATACCTCCCCTATGATTCAGCAATTCTGTTCCTAGATATTTACACAACAGAAATGGAAACATATGTACCCAAAAAACTTATACCAGACATATATGAAATAGAACAATAAAATGCCTTGCAAATGCTTTAAGTGGGACGGGGTGGGGGCTGGGAGGGAATGGTTGGGGTCATCTAATCAATATACACTGCAAGGGTATTCAGAATAGGGAATTAGCAACATGACTCCCCCCTGTACAATGAATATATGCTAATAAAAATGAAAAAAATTATACAAGACTGTTAACAACAGTCTTATTAACAGCCCAAACCTGAAACAGCAACAATATATACAGTAGAAGGATGGAATATTATGGTATATTTATGCAATAAAACACAATTCAAGAACTAAAAGGAAGTATCTGATGAAGCACAAAAAACGTGGATAAATATCCAAAACCTTATCTTAGAAACAAAGTATGAACAGGAAAATGTTGTAATGCTGACAAAGTGATAAAATGGTTGATTTGAAAAACAGGATAAGGAAAATGACTGGAAAAAGTCAGCAGGGAATTTTGGGGGGAGGATGGAAATGTTCCTTATCAAAATTTACCCCAAGATCAGTGACCTTTATTGTGTATAAATTCTACTTCAATCAAATTTTAAAACAGTTATAATACAATGAAAAAAAGACATTAGAGACAAGTATAAAATATCACTGAGAGAAATGGAAGAGGCAAATAAAGAGAGGTGTATGCTACATTTACAGATTAAAAGACATAAAAACATCAATTCTCCCTCAAATTAATTTCTACATTCAATAAAAACCCAATGAAAATCTTATTCTTTATATGGAAACTAACCACCTGATTCTAAAACTTAAGAAGTTTGAAGAGCCAAGAAGAGATAATGCAATCATAAAGAAGACCAGAGCTCAAGGACTTGGGCAGCTCCTTCACAGAACTAATTACAAATGTGCAGTCACAAGGACAGCACACTGCAAAGACAGACAAACGGCGAGTGTCCAGAACAGGGAGGAAAGCTCTGTGGTCGCCTGAGCAGGACTGTCCAGTGTAAAGGAAAAGGAAAGCCACAGGTGCAGCCTTGCTTCATGGAAGCCCCACACAATGCTCAAACACTGTGGATGTGCACAGGCTGCTGAAAAGTGACACACAAAGTCCATCTTGAAGGATATCTTCAGAAATATCCCTGAAAGGGTAAACCCTATTCAAATGTATCTAATAGCTGTGTGCTGGTGGCTCACACCCATAATCCTAGCTACTAGGGAGGCTGAGAGCAGGAAAATGGTGGTTCAAGGTGAGTCTAGGCAAGCAGTTCACAAGCTCCCATCCCTAAAATAACCAGGGCAAAATGTACTACAGGGGTGGCTCAAGGAGAGAGGGCCTGCTTTGCAGGCATGAAGCCAAGTTCAAACCTCAGAAGGAACAAACCAAAAAAGAAAAAAAAAATTGCCTGATAATCCCTGTTAATCAACCAAAAGGTGGAAATGGTAGCAAATCCCATGGAATTACAAAATGACACCAAGGGTTAGAATCATCTTCAAAAGAAAAAAAGAGAAAGGAGTAGTTTTGTAAATTACAGAAAACAAGCAAGTTAATGTATTTGTGAATCAAATGGAACTGACATGTAACAAGCCTCCCTAAGTCCAAGAATGCCTTTTAAACACATAAGAACCTCCAAAATGAACACAAGAGATGCAGTGATGTCAAACACCTCCCACCAGAAATAATCTCCAAATTTCCATAGCACTTCATGCTGTACCTTTACCAGTACTTATCACTTAACTTTGTACAGAACCAAAAGCTCACTGTGAGCTCCTTACCTCTTTCCTCACTTTACACAGGAAGAAACTGAAGTCTAAAGTGATGAGCTGGTTTGTGCAAGGTTCTACAATTCCTTGTGACAGTACTGAGAACACAACCCATGTCTCCTGACTCCCTGGGTCAATGTGCTTAAAAGAAAACAAACAGCTTAGTCCAAAACTGTCGCGGAAAACAAAAGACAATCAACACGCAAAAAGGTCACGCCCTCACCATGTGCACAGCGTGAAACAGTGAACAGAGAATACAGAGAGCTGCTTCCTTACTTCTGACGCGGTCTTCCCGCCTGTCCCTCCCCAGGCCTTCAGAGGAGGAAGCACATCCCGCTGCTGTGCTTGCTGGGAAGATGGCGCAAGGCCTTTCTTTTCCTTTCATTTTCTGGGAGCCACTTTACTGGAAGCGCTGCAGTGCCCCAGTCCCACTCCACCTGCCCCGAAGCCTCGGGTTCCTGAAGCTGCGGCCCAGAAACGCACTTGGATCATTGAAAAGCGGGAAGCGGGCACAGCCGCATCAAGATGGCAGGTAGCATAGGACCCCAAATAGGTTGTCTTGGAGACGCAAACTGTCTCCCTCCTCTGACATCACTCTTAGTTAATTCACAAGCCTCTTCCTTTCACTTTCTACCCATTATGGAAATAAAGGTCAACCTTTTCTTTTCTTGAACTGTGTTACCTGTTATTTATATACGGCGTTGCCATGCTGTCCCTGATCTGTCTGCCTGGGAAGACATTCAAAGCAGAGCTTTTAAGGCTGGTGAAATTGAACCTCCCACTGACAAACCGATTCTCTCTTTACAGAACTGGAGGCTTTTTTTTCTAAGATATATTTTCCCAAATATTTTTCAAAACGCTGTTGACAATGAACTTCTCAGACATGCGAAGATTATTTACAGCCAGAAACACCAATAGCACCCTAAAGTACAGCCCTAGATGAGAAAGAAATCAAATGCATATGCTAACTAATGACGAACATTTTAGAAATTATCATTCTTGCCTGTGACATGGCTCACGCCTGTAATCCTAGCTACACAGGACACAGCGATCAGAAAGATCCCATTTCCAAGCCAGCCCCTGGCAAATTGTTCTGGAGATGCTATTTTGAAAACTCCCATCACATAAGAGGGCTGGCAGAGTGACTCAAATGGTAGAGCACCTGCCTAGCAAGTAAGGTCTTGGGTTCAAACCCCAGTGCCTCAGGAAAAAAAAAAATTATCATTCTTACTTTCATTCTGGTTTAAGAACAAGAAAAAGGACAACAAAACCAGTTACAAAACTAAATTTCAATGGGGGATAGAAGAATAATGAAAATGGATGAGCAAAATATTTCTATTAAAAACAACTCAAGGACTGGTGAAGTAGCTAAAGTGATAGAGGGCCTATCAAGTGCAAAGCCCCGAATTCAAACCCAGTACTGCCAAAAAAGAAAAAGTGAAAATTAGAAGACATTTTTATTTAAGTAACAATTCATCACACTTTAAAAAATTCTCTTCATCATTTGGTAGTACTGGGATTGATCTCAGGGCCTCATGCTTGCTGGGAAGTGCTCTAACATTTGAGTGACACCTCAGTCCTTTTTTGCTTTTTTTTTTTTTTTTCTTGTTTCAGATAAGGTCTTGAGCTTTTACCTGGGACAGCATTGGACTACCCCCTGAGTAGCTGGGATTACAGAGTGACCCACCACGTTCAGCACCCCCACATACACTGGAGAAAGCTAAGTAGAAGCCATGACATCTATGAAAACTAAGTTAAGTAAGAGGCAGAAGTCCATAGCACGGTATGAGTGGCAGAGGGAAGCTTAAAGAGCAACTGGTTAACCCAGCACCCTCCTTTGATATATGGAAACACTACATACCTGAAAGAACTAAGGGACTTGCCCAGTGCCCTTCAAATAAGTGACAGGCCTAAAATACAAATGACCTGGGTTTTCTAGTACTCCACACTCAATTGCATTGAATGAGAAATGTAAGTCAGAACATTGGTGTTGTATTCATTCCTTATAAACTCTCTTCTTACTTTTACACTCACGCTCCTATGTATTACTTTTGTAAATCTACTTTTTTCTTATTTTTTGACTGACACATAACTGTACATTTTTACTAGGTACAATGAAATGTGATGATGTGGTTCATGTACACATTGGGTAATGATCGACACGGGGTAATTATGCATATCGGCCATTTTCAACTTTTATCATTTCTACAATAAGTATTCAGAGTGCTCTCTTCTAGCTATTTGGTTCTACAATGCATAAATGATAGCTATATTCACCCCACTATGCCCTAGGACACTGGAACTTATGCTTCTCAAACACTGAGCCCATCATGTAGCTTTTCCCCATTCCTCCTTCCCAATATATGTCTGCTTCTCAGTGTTCAATTTCCCTTAGCTCTGAGAGCATCTCCCAGCCTCAAAGTGCTGTGTAATCTCATGTTCCCTGTCACAGAATCATGTGCAGCTTTACTACTGGATGTTGCTATGGCTACCACAGTCCTCCTCTGGGTAGATTTGTGAGGTCCAGCCTGACTCTGGAATACCATTGTCCCAGGACTGGGTGGCTCATGCTTCCGTGTTAAGTGAGACACGAGGCTTATTTTCATCACAGGATACCAGGGACACCATAGAACATATCAACAGTTTTGAGGGAATATTGTACAGGAAATACTTCTGAGAGGTCAGGACATCCTTAGTGGTGCTAACTGAGAGGCCAGTCAGCCCCTTAGGACAGTCACCACTCATTGGAACAATGCTAACTTCAACACAAAACCACAACAACAAAGAACAATGAGCAAATACCAAACACCAACACCATGAACACACTCCAGCAGGTCACCAAAGAAGCTCCCTGCTCAATATGAGCAGAAATCCAGCCCAGGCCACCTCCTTGTAGACATGGCTGTTAATCCATCACAATGGTCCTTCTGAGGTCAGAGCAAGAACCGACCAATCAGGGCTGGGTACACAGCACAGCGGTTGGGCCTCAAGTACCTTTGGCAGTTTAATTTTAAAGGGCTCCACCAGTTTTTGCCATGGCTTGGTAATAGACACTGTCATT